GGTGCCGGCAATATGAAAAAAGAGGAGGTACGTGTATTCTACTCCATAAAAATAGTGATCATAAAAGGATACAAATAACAGATACAATTTCGGAAAAACATAACTTTGAGTGCTGCGGAATATTAATAGAAAAATTTAATTTAATTATAATATGCATATATAGGACCCCTACATCAAATATATCAATATTTTTTGAAAAATTGCAAAAACTATTACATTCTTTAAATAAAAAATCAAATAAAATAATATTATGTGGTGATTGGAATATTAATATTTTGCAAAATAGCGAAAATACAAAAATATTAACAAGCATTTTATATAATTACAATCTAACATTGCATATTACTACTCCAACAAGGAAAAAAGCCTGCCTAGATCTAATAGTGAGTAATATCTACGGAGCAAAAGGTTATACAGATGATATGCTTCTATCAGACCATGATACGTGCCAGATACTATCAATTCCATTTGACAACTATATTAGAAATTTTCATTGGTATGAAATGAAAAGAAACTTTGACATTGAAAATAAAGAGAAATTCATAAAATATATTAATTCTTTGACTTTTCAAAATGTATTAGAAATAAAAGATACGAATGAAGCCTATAATATGTTTCATGATACTTTTACCATGTTTTATGACCAATGTTTCCCCATAACAAGAATAAGATTAAGTAATAATACAAAACAAGTTAAGTGGATTACAAAAGGATTAAGAAAGAGCTGTCGGGAAAAGCGTAAATACTATTATAAATATATGCATTCGAGTAAAAAAGATAAGGAGAAAAACAAAACATATTATAAGAAATATAATAAGATACTAAATAAATGCCTCAATTCGGCGCAAAAAATAACAAATTCAAAATTCATTATAAATGCTAAAAATAAATGTATGGCATCATGGAAAATTATAAATAATAATATAAATAGAAAACCAACAAAAAATTTAATTAAAACCATAAAATATAAAAATAAAGATCTAAATAACGCTCATGACCTATGTGAAGCATTTAATGAGTATTATACAGAAATAACTGAAAATAAAAACAAGAAAATAGAAAACACAAATCAAAATAAAGTCCAAAACAGTATATTTCTATATCCAACTACAGAAACAGAAATAGAAAGAATAATATTAAAGTTGAAAAATACAAAATCAGTGGGTTATGATGATCTGAACACAGATATTATTAAAGCATGCTCCAAAAGTATTAAATCTCCTTTATCACATATAATAAATGCTTCATTAGAAAGTGGTACATTTCCGGATAGACTGAAATTTTCAGTAATAAAACCATTATTCAAAAAGGGAGACACTAGTGATATAGGAAACTATAGACCTATTACACTCATACCAGTATTTTCAAAAATATTTGAGAAAGTAATGGCTGAAAGGTTAAAATCATTCATTAATAAACATAGTGTAATCAATAATAATCAATTCGGATTTCAGGAAGGAAAGTCTACTACACAAGCTTGTTTTGAATTGTTAAAAAAAGTAATTGAATCTTTAAATAATAGAGTCCCTGTAGTGGCAGTATTTCTTGATATGTCAAAGGCTTTTGATAGTGTGAATCATGACATATTAATGAAAAAACTTTTTGACTATGGCATGAGAGGCTCAGCGTACAAATGGTTCGAAAGTTATTTGAGAAATAGACAACAGTGTACAGAAATAATAAGAATGGAAAGTAATATCAAAGAAACCATTCGTTCAAATTATCGAAATATAAAAAATGGCGTACCACAGGGCAGCATCTTAGGACCTTTACTCTTCTTACTATACATCAATGACCTCCCTGATATAACCACAAATGACTGTTTCTTATTTGCTGATGACTGTACACTACTGTTTCAAAATAAAAATATTGACCAACTAGAAAACAAAATTAATAACACAATTTCCAATGTAATAGAATGGCTAAACAAAAACAATTTAAAAATTAACATATCAAAAACTAACATAATACAATTTCATACAGCTAAATCTAAAAGAATAAACTTAAATATACATTATAAAAATTCCAATATTGACGTGACCAATAAAACGTGAACTATATAAACGAAAAATAAACGTGACGTGATCCAATAAAAAGACGTGACTCCTGTAAGCCTATGTTTAAAGAATTAAAAATATTACCTTTGCCTTGCATTTATATTTGTGAACTGTGTTTATTTGTAAAAAAAAATCCACAATATTTTACTAAAGTCAGAGAGATAAAAAAAGACCCACGAAGTTCGAGACAAAATAAAATTGTTATTCCGAAATGTAATTTGACATTATTCAAACAAAATGTATATTATATGGCTATAAATATATTCAACAAGCTTCCATCGAAACTAGTAGACTTACCGATTAACAGAAACATTTTTAAAAAAGCTTTGACGGAGTGGCTTCTGAACAAATCATTTTACTCGATACAGGAATATTTGGAATGCAAGCAATTTTAGTAGAGTAAAAATCGCTTATAAATAAATAAATTATTATATACAACGACACTATAAATAAATTATATACAATGACATATTTTATAATGTGTATGATAAAATTATTTTGTAATTGACATGGATTTATGTATTAAGCTTACTTGACTTATTATTTTTGTAACATATAAATTGATTCGAATTTTGACATTATTACTATTACTTAATTTTAAACTATAAGACTGAAATAATATGTAATAGGAACTAAATGAAATGTTTTTTAAGTGAATGATGTGCGAATAAAATAATATCATAGTTAATGCATGAATAGATTAAAATGTAAATTAATATTGCTTAAATTGTACAAATAAAATTTAATCATTTAAGTTAAAACTACTTATCTAAACTTAAAATAATAACTAAACTAAATTAAAAATGTCTCCCAAATCATTGCCTACAGGTAAGGTACCCAGAAGGCTGCGAGCGTTACCTCTTTGAATAGCTAAACTAATTCTTTGGGCGAGGTACAAACCAGCCTTCTGATCACCTGACCTGTCAAAAAGTTTATTTTTTAACTCTTGATAAAGACGATGGGCTCCAGGGCCCCACGGACTCATCGTTTCGACCCCAAACGGCTCAAATATGTAGGTATTACTTATACCTGAATATTTTCGCCGTTTGAGGCTTTCTGCAGCAGCGGCGGCTACACCCGCCTCAAGACATGTTCGTGGAAGATGAGTTGGCGCCAAAGTATCAACGCAGGTGGCATCCCATACTAGGGGTCGACCCATCCTCCAAGGTACCAAAGACATCCCATCAGGTCTCTTACCGTCGTCGCGAGTCAGCCCGTTCGGTTCTAGAATGGCTGGCACTGACGCCGTAGCAAGAGCTCGACGGATAATATCATTGATACTTGCATGTCGAGAGATACGACCGGCACTTCTGCTACAAGATAAGCCGTGATGACCTAAAGAGTCCACCGTTTCACCGCAAGGGCAAAGATGGGGGAGATTACAGGTTGCCCCCAGGCGAAGACAAACTGAAAGGCGAAAAGTTGTATTATCTAGAAGTGTCCCAACAGTCGATGACGGCAATACTTGTAACCAAAGACCGGATTCCCACTCAGCGACAGCTAAGAGACGAGCATGCTCTGCAGAATTGGCAGACGTGTTTAATAGATTATTCCGTACCAATTTACAGAGCGGCTCGTCCCAATGTTTTTGAGCTGTCATTACTGTTGGAAAATCACTTCCAGATAATATCTCCCAAGCAGTTTTTGCTTCGGCCATATTGGAGATAGCAGCAGCTGAAGACGTTTTAGACAATATTTTTTTATTCAGGTCATAGGTGCTATGGACCGAAGATAAAAATGCTGGAAGGGCAACACTAGAAATTTTGCGTAAACCTAAACCTCCGAAGCGTATAGGAAGAGAAGCCTGGTCCCAAATTTTGTCACTAATATCGATATTAAGTATAGTGGAAACAATTTCTTTTATTGCTTTGTCCATTGAAAGTGTAAGGTTTGTGTGTTTCCAAAAAGGTGCTGAACGTAAAACATAGGTAAATTGAGGAACAAACAGACAATAACGCATAATTGTGAAAGCCATTTGATTATTAATTTTTAGTAAACGATCAGCAACTGACTTAAATTTTATTACTTTTTGTTCAGTGAACTGATTGAAATATTCATCACAAATTGGAGACCCTAAAAGTGAAAGTGACTGTTTACATATAATTTTTATGCCCGGAGCTAGAGCATTAAATTTGGAAATTATGGATTCTTTTTCATTGACTGTACTAGGAATATAGAGCTCGCATTTACTAAAATTTAACTCTAGGCCACAATTTTCTAAATTTTCGATTAGATATTTTAGATCTGAAAAAACTGATTCGGCTTCTCCTCCTAACGTACCATCATCCAGATACCACACATTGAATTTAGAATTTAGATTTGAAATAATTGGATGAATAGCTAAACCAAAAAGTGCCGGCCCGAGTGGGTCACCTTGTTGACATCCTACGGAAGAGGACAAAAGGTGGTTTTTATAAATCAATTTCGAAGGTGATCTATAGCATTGCCATAAGAAATTGTATATAGATGGTGTTTTGTCTTTTATTTGTGTCAACAGGGTGGACCTATCTACCGAGTTGAAAGCATTTTTTACATCTACCTTCAAGACAAGATCTTTTGGTTGAATATCTAAGAATGTTCTAAGAGAATGTATTGCCGCTTCACAACCACATTTTATTCCAAACCCTAGCTGTAAAGGGTCGAAGTAGTTGCTAAGCGTGCTACGAATTGACTTACAACATATTTTAGCAGCAAGACGGCGAAAAGTAGAACCTACCGCGATTGGTCGGATACCACCATCTTTTTTCTTAAGAGCATTTATATAACTACTAAAACTATTGCACACTGTCAAACAGTAAATATGTGATACGCTTATTTTATGACATCTGTTACACCATATTTTATGCAATAAATGATTGATTGATTGATTGATTGATTGAAAGCGATCGATATTCGGTTAAACCGAATTGAGAGCTGATTCCCTAAATTAAATGTCAAATTGACAATCAAAACAGCTGGTTTGTTCTGTTTTGCTAAAATAATATGCTTTTCTTGCATTTATGAAATATATCTTATAAAAATCTAGATTAAAATGAATGAAATCGAGTATAAATTGAAGACAAATAACAGTGTATTAATCGTTAATGCTGTAGACAAATTAATAACCGCTATAAAGTCAAAGTTTAAAGTTGCCGAACGTCAGCGTTTTGTATTGGAAAACGAAGAATTAAAATATTTAAGAGAGAAATGTTCGGTCAAGGAGACAGTGGTGAGCCTGACTGCTTGCCAAGGCCTTCTGGCGTTGGTGGAGTTGGGTGTTTTAGAGATCGGACATACTATGTCTACAATAGTAACATTACTGCCCAGTGCACAGTAAGTACCTACTACTAATATATAAATATTATTTCATTAGAAAGTAATCCTTCCCCCCCTTTCACTGCTTGCCTATACAAACAGAATGAGGATTATCTATGGGATTGCTATTAAGTACTATAAATTTATTGAATATCTGATAAGTCTATAAATATTGTTCTAACTGTTAACATACTTACACTAATAAGATTAACATCCTAGAGCATTATTGTAAAAACATGTACTTGGTGAACACTGGTCACTGCCACAGCATGCTTACTTTGCTCATTCAATTTGATATTTGTTACATTCATAGTTTATTTAAAGGTTTTTCGTATCTAGAAACATTATACAATAAAATCTGAGAAATAAATATACCTTAAAACAATTATGTCAAAGTATATTAGAAATGAGATGCTGAAAGAAGGGACCCTGTGAAGACAGGAGAAGTTTGCTATTCTATGACAGACATCAAAGTCATTACTTGGATACCATAACTTGAGATAATATTTCACTTTTTATTTTTCATATTCACTTACACACATAAATACCTTGGACCTTAGACATACTCACACCATGATATCAGCATTCAATGCACAGAACCTCTTGTCTTAACATAAATTATGTAATTTGTTTATTTTATTTTCAGCAATTACTCTGCTATAATTTCCACTATGGCTGGTCTTCTTATATTAGATCTGAAGTCTAGACTAGTTCCAGGTGAATCTTACAAATGCCAGTTCACATTAAAATCTCCTCAACATCCATTCATAACAGTTCTAGAGAAGAATAGAGAAGCAGAAGATGATGTGCTAGCCCAAATGCATGCACTGTGTAATCATCCTGATTATATGTAAGGTTTTATTTTATTATTTTTACTGGCTGATTATTTATCTGTTCTAATTACTAAAAAATAATTAGTTAATTTATTTATCAAAAATTATAGACATTCACCCAGTTTCTGAACTGAGAATTTAAAGTTAAGCACTTCTCAAACTGTACTTAAAAGTCACTTAAACATGTTTTCTTTTCTCATTCTAGTTTTTTAATGATTAGTTGATAGCAGTTTGGTAAAACTAGGACTTTTTGCCGTGTGTAACATAAAAAAAACTTAAGTATTGAGAAGAATAAGTTGAGGTTTGTACATTTCTCAATTCAAAAACTAGCTTTATGTTTATAATATACAAGGATTTCCAGTGACTTTCACTGGAAAAGAGCTCCTAGGTTATATAATTTATGCTTACGTAATGTTAACTGTTATAAATTGTCAATTTTGGAAAATAACCATATACCAATTAATAATATTTAATGTCCACAAACAAAAAAATGATAATATAATTTACAGAGTGTCTTCAAATAGTCTAGAGCTGTTACGACCAGTATTTCTGTGGTTGACCTGTAATCCAAGGCATATAGCAGCTCATTCATCAAGCTTAAGACCGTGGCAGTTATTGCTGAGCCTTCCCCAGTCAGGTGCTCAGTCTTCACTTCTGTTATCATGTTTGTGTTGCCAGCAGGTAATATTATTTATTTCTTAATTGTATATTAGGTAGTTTTACTCAATTCTGAGCACAAGGGCTGACAAGAAAATAAAAGGATGTTCACTTAATATTGACTCAAAGACAATTGACTATACTGAATTCTCCAATGATTGAGTTATACTGATTTATTAAACCTCTTGTCTATATGAACCTGTTCTCTGACGGACTTTAGACCTGCGTCCTCTGTCGTGGTGCTTGGTGTCATTATTATCATCCTCATGATCATCAGCCCTTTTACATCCACATTTCATAAGCTCAGGCCTTCCTTACCAATGGTTAAGGAGGACAGGCTATATAATCTTCCATGGTGGCCTAATGCAAATTAGAGGTTTTTAACGGCTGCAAATACAGCTGGTAGCACCTTATTAAAGTGGCTTCCGAAACATGGAGTATCTCAAGATAATGTTTTAGTCAACCAACCCATGAATGACCCTCGTAAAAGTTGCTTAGCAATAACGCATACCGGCCGCGGAGCTTATTCATTACGCCACCAAGCTACTCGAGTTCAGTGTACTATAATTACAAAAATGGAGTATCAAATCCTCACAGGTGAATTTGTTCCGATACATGACGCCTTTTTAGGATAGCTTAGTTAGCACTACAAGAGATCTCGAATTCGACACTATATTTCACGTTGAATATACTCACAATTTTACTTTAGATCTGCAATCCCAAGTTGACTGAGCGTGCATTCACTGCGTACTCGGCTGTTACCGATGCTGCCATCTACCGCAAAGATAGAGAATATGTCACTGCTCTAATGCCCATATTAGCTAGAATATCCAATGAGCTTGTTCTAAATGGGTAAGTAAAAATTTGGTTATTGTGTCAGCCTCATATACTCGAAGACATTAGAGTTTGAGTAATATAACATTACTCTTTCATAGTAATAAAAACACACCTTAACCACATCATCTCTCCGATAATTCGTATAATATATATCACAATATCTGTCTTTTTAAGAATTTTCCTTTTAGCTCTATATTAAATATCTATCTTTTCTGATTTCCACTGTCTCCCATTATTAAGCACATACATTGTGTATATTGTATACATTTTAGGGAATGAAATATCTGCACTTGCGGAAAAAAAACTCGCGTGGGAAAAAAAACGTTTACTAAACTACAGGTTTTCCCGATTGCTAAGTCGTGCATCAGCAATAGCGGTGGAAAGATATTTCGCGGTTTGTCTCCCGTCAACTCGGCGCCCGCCGAAAGTGACGAAATTGATATTGAAATGTTTATAATGCTAATTCTAAATAGGCCTCTCCTATGGGACAAATTTCAGGCAAACTACCATGGTAGGCAATTGAAAACGAGATTGTGAGAAGAATATACATTTATATTTATTTCTTTTATTTTCACTCTCACTATCCGTAAATAAAATAACTTTTAAACGGTTTAATCGCGTTTTTAATTAATTTTTTTGATGAAACCGTTTAAAAGTTGTTTACATTGAATACAATCAACCAAATTAAGATTATTCTGTAGTTCAATTTTTGGGCCTGTCGTCGCTGTCTGTCTATCTATCTGACTGTCACCAGGCTATCTCATCAACCGTGAGAGTTAGATAGTTGATTTTCACAAATACTAAAAATCAGAATAAAATAAATATTTAAGGGGGCTCCCACACAACAAACGGGATTTTTTCTCGTTTCTGGTACGGAAACTTACGTGCGCAAGCCCTATTCGCACTCGACCGGTTTTTGAGACGTTTGTCTCGACCAAGAGCTACATAAAACTAACAAAAATTGCATGGAATTTTAATCACAAGCCGGGCAAGTTGTTAAGTCGTTGCGGACAGTCAATAAGAGGTTTGCAATCTATTGCAGGTTTAGTGGTTATTGGACTTTACTATGTTTTTATAATTTTAAAACAACCTACATCTCAGTATCCGGTAAAATATTTAGAAATACGAAAAATATCTAAAACTTACACATTCGTAATCTATTTAATGATAACTTTTTTATATTCTTATTTTATATATACATGAAATATATCTAAAAAATATCATTCTATAATAAGTTAAAATCTCAAAATAAATTTAATTTTCAAAATATCCCGCGAAAACGCCACGTCTGTCATGGCGTCGCTATGACGTCACGGTACTCTAATTATAATGTTGAATTCTCTAAGTTCTGAAATGAGTAAGAAGAGTGTGATGTCATGCGCTGTTTGCGGTCACGTGACAACGATCACAAAAATTTGTTTTTTCATAATTAGTTTAAGCGATGTTTTAAATATAATAAGCATAAAAGTTTGATTATCGGTAGAGTATATTAAACACTACCAGAAAAAAAAATATTTATTTTAGTTTACTGTCTATACATTATTTTTATTAAAAGATTAGTGTTTGCGAAAACTTAAATTATTATTTATTTTTATTTCCATGCTCCAGCCGAGATCCTCGGTCGTGTTATAGTTTATTAGAGCGCTGTTTAGCGCTGGACGCGGCAGAGTTCCGTCACGCTACCGGCCTCACGTTGACGCTGCTTGCTGACAACTTGCAGCACACATCTGCGCTGTATTTACACGAGTTGTTCAACCTGGGTGAGATAAGAAATATACCTTGTTGAATACCTTGGGATTAAATAACTTATATCAATAAATGACTTGAAAATCTTGACCTCCATTTTGGTCAAATAATTCACTTTGGCCAGAGTAATATCTGGTCATAACTACGTTTACGGAATAACGTTTTCTAATAAAAAAATATCAATTACTGACAGCTTGTAATAAGAAAGAAATACAGACAACACACACCTCTAACGTATGTGGATGAAAGTTCTTTTTGACCTAAAAAGACATTTTTTTAAATTAAATATAGCTACATCGTTTTTTCTACCCCGAAACCTCCTGTATACCAAATTTCATTAAAATTGTTGGAGCCGTTTCTGAGATTCCAATTATATATACACAAGAATTGCTCGTTTAAAGGTATTAGATTAAGTAGATTTATGGACTTGCAATTTTTATACAACTTTCTATTTTGAATAACAGTTTTAATACGTCTTTTTATTCCAAATTTCTCACTGGAACAGTTGGACTGCCAACACTAAATGTATTTCTAGGTCTAGATAAGAATAAAGAATAAGAAACATTTTGTTAGTCTCAAAATTAATACAAAAAAAAGAAAGCACATTAAAGGAACACAATACATAAGATACACAGAGGACGATAAATAACATATACTTACAAGAGATCAATCAGGACTCTGCCTCAGCTGATCATTTACGTTCAATTTGGCATTAAAAACCTATTACTTGTCTTATCTTAAATTGTATTCGATAAAAGCTCTATTCACGCATTTTATTCGTTGATTCGTTCATTCATCAATCATTTTCAGCTCTCAACATTATAAGCAAATACGAGTGCGGAAATATATCTTTAAACATCTTCGTGGCCTTGTCACTACAATGGCTACGTTTGCCTTCGTACCTAACAACTTCAGCTTTGAAAGTTGCAGCGAAAATCGTTGACACGTATCAAACTAAAAGTAAAACTGACACAAGTCTGCATATGCCCAATTTGAAGGCGAACAAAATATTCCAATCGCTTTTATATACAGACAGGCATTTGTTTGTCGTATTCAAACTGATAGAAAACTGGGAAAGATTCCGAGATGATCCGGACAAATTGAGGATGTGGTTAGGTGATATCGAATCACTAGACGATAATGTTAAGTTAGACTTGGTGCCGTTTTTAATTGGTATCGTTATGGAGAGGAGATTTGAAGATTGGTACAAGGATATTGTGATCGAAGCGTTGAAGATTGTGGTGACCGTTGTGGATGCAAAGAAGGAGTTATGTGTTATGCTGATGCCTGTTCTATTGTATAAGATAGCGAGTGACCCGACGCCTAAAGTGCGGATGCAGTGCTTGAAAGATTTGCCTTTGATGGCAAAAACTAAGGTAACATTATTATAATGGTATTTATTTATTTACGGTATCACTTTGAAATTGTATTCAAATATTTTTGATGTATGTTATTAAAAAATACTTGAATGTAATATACCTATACACCAGATAAGTTATGATGAACTAAACCTGCCTGCAAAATTGTTGGATATTTCCAATACTTTCTAAATAATCCCTGCAAATTGTTGTTGTTGCAACTGGAGTTGTGTTCAGAAATCAGAATCGTTAACAAAGTACAGCATCCAAAAAAGTTGTAATTTCTAACTTAATAATATATTCTATCTTAAGAAAAACTCAGAGTGAATAAAATGTTACGTTTGTGGTTGAACAAACGTAATAAAAACTTAAAATCCGGAAAAAGAACACAGCAAGTTTATAACTCTAAATTTCGAAATTGCAAAGACCATTAACAGTTATGCTATCGCTCATGAGCTCATATGGCGACGACGGAGGCGGGTTGCGCGATAGGTATAGAGTTTTGTGCCAGGCTAATTAGTACGAGAAAAATAAACCTTAAAGTTTACAATAATTTAGTACTATTTTTTCTATACTTTTATCTGACTGTGTTTTTTATTATCTAGGAGAATGTCCCGACCATAGTGGCGATATTGAACAAGTTAAAAGCCAGTAATGGTGTACCTGTATCGACCCTTATTATGCTGTATACGACTCTTGCTGAAACCCAGGTAAATATGAACGTTTTTCCATTACGGATTTATAGGATTATTATCAATGAACATCGCCAACTACAGAGAAATCATTTTAATAGATATCGTCATCTTGACTACAAACTCTTAGTATCAGTTAGTGTTCCACCTGGGACTTAATTATAAGATACCAGGTGCCGGACCACTCGAGAGGGTAGTACGGGGGGTTTTGCACGTTAGGCCTACTGCACTGGATCGCCGTCCCTTGCAGTGAGAGACCCCGGGTTCAGTCGGCCTCTAGCCCAGGTCGATGGCATGTTAAGGTCAGTTCCCCTCGGTATAAAAAAAAAAGTATCAGTTAGTGGTGGTTAAATTATCCAACGTGTTAATTAACACGCTTTTATCTCCTAACGATTGACACTGCTAATTAGGTATACGCGAAGGCGCTAAGAATATTCACGCGTGAAATTCCAAAACGATTAACGACCGAACGAAACTAGACCGCGGCCGGTCGCGCAGTTTACGCGTGAACGCGATCGTTGGCAGACATGTCATTGCTAACGCTAAGTAGGTTATTATTACGCGCGATACTATTTCCAAATTAAATTATCATGTGTTTTAACAAAGTTTACTAAGTCGATATTTTAAATATTTTAGATTTGAAGAGTGATTATATGTTATTCGGTGTATGTTTAAAGAAGTTTGTGTGTGTATATTGATTATTAACGGTTGTTTAAAACAATGATATTTTTAGTAAATAATGTGAATAAAATATATGATAGCAAATGTACATAGTAAATTCTTCTACATAAACTCAATGAATTTTTGAATAGGCCTTTAATCGAATTATAGACAGTTCTAAGCCTGCAAATTATTAAGTGGAGTTTATCGATTTTCTTTTAATTTAGTAGTACTGCTATAATTTATTTCGAACTATTAAGACTAATTAATAATGAATTATTGTTTCATATAGTACGTAATCTCTTTAACGTACAACATAAAATAATTAACGTGTTACAAGGTTTAGCGTGCTACAAAATTTAACGAGTCTTCACGCATCCTTATGCTTCTTTGAATTAACGCGTTAATAAATTAGCGCCTTCATTAACACGTTAAAAAAAATCATTAGTCTATAGCGCATTAATGATTATTAGTCGTTTTGAACACCTGGTCTCAGTGATGAAAATTGACTGTATGATAAAAGGTTTACATGCACAATGCAAAGAAGACAAAGATTAAAAACTCACGATTGATGATTTTTTATATCTTGGATGTAATCTTGTTAAGCATGGATGAAACGTACAACGCTGTTATAGAAAGGAGAGTCGGTGCTGGGAACTGTGTGTATGTAGAGCGTTGGAAAACTTCTTGGTAGCTTATTGTAATAGGTTGTCTTGAGTTAAAAAGTGCAGCTCGCTAATGTATGGCAGTGAGAGATGGATATGTCAGAGAAAGCTCATAAGTAAGAATAAAATGCAGTCGAGATACGCTAGTTAGGTAAAATTTGCGGAGAAACGCTCTTAGAACGCATTGTCATGAACAAATAAGAAAGTAAGTTGAATTGAAAGATAAAATAATGTACTGTAAGGATACTCCTCATGTCGGAGATGTGAAAAGAATGTGTTGGTCGAAAGAATGATAAAATTGCTGCTTGATGTCTTTCGTAGGTGCGTTGTTTTCCGTATTTGCAAGAAGTGTTAGTCGAGGTAAGCGGCCGACCTGATGAACCTAAATGGGAGCTGGACGTCGCCCGTGCCTTTGCAGTCGTCCGTATTTGCGAAATAAGGTTTGTTCGCTAATTGACTTGGAAGATTTTTCTGGATTGGTGTAATTCTTTTATAAGCTGGTGTACAACATTATTTTTCAACACTAAATGATAAAGTGTAAAAAATGAGAGTCAAGTTTATATACAGCAGATTTGCTTGATACATTTTCATTTTGTAGTTTAGTATAATCATCATAAAAATTACTTCTGTTACAATAGGGTTGATAACTAATTTTTGTTTGTTTGTCCGTCAGGTACATTAATGAAGAACATTAATTACGTATTTTTTATTTTTTGCATAATCAATATATTACGACGATACATTGAGTTGAAATGTCGCATGACTTCACGCTTTTGTACATTTTCTACAAAACTCAGACGTAGCAAGCCCCTAATCTTCAATTTTAATGCCTATTATCTGAGCCACGTCTTGTTTAAATTGAAACAAAAAAATGCGTATCTAATATTTTTCTATTATCTGACTGACGGACTAAATAGAATTCCTCTTTTTTTAACCAGTATTACTTATTAATAAGTATGTTGTTTTAGAACATGTTTCTGTTCGCATCCAGGGCTAGCACGCATGGTATAGAACTGGTGCCCACAATATCGTCGGTGTTGAACCGCTGCACGGATAGGTCCGGCAGCTCCGCCACGTGTCTAGCGCTTGCGGCGCTGCAGTTGCTGTGGCGCGCCGCAGCTGTAGCGCCGCCCGGCACCTGGCGGCATCTGCAGCCCAGGCTGGCGCGGGACACGCGGGACACCGTGCGCATCAGGTAACCTGCACACTTATATTGTGACCTAGGTTATGTTATATAGCCTTGCGTGACACCTGGTGGCATCTGAAGCCCAGGCTGGCGCGGGACATGCGGGACACCGTGCGGACCAGGTGACTTGCATTCTTATATGGTGACCCAGGTTATATTGTATAGTACTTTTTATTTTATACATCTATGCGGTGGTCCGCCCAGACGGCATTTTAATACGTCTAGATTATGTATCTGAAATAATTTTATCTATTTCAGTCCTAACCACAGAGTGTGAATGTAATTTTTTTATTTTCAGCATATGCAAACTTCTGTCAGAAGTGCCAAACTTACGCGTGGCTACGCCCGAATACGACAAACTTGTGTCGGACGCCGCTCGTCAACTCTGGTCTTACGTAGCCAGTTCCAACGAGCCAGAAGTAGTGGAATCAGCTTGCGATGCCTTAGCTAACTTCAAGATAGACGATTATAAACTCAAAGATGTACCAGAGATCTATAGAAAAACTGTGAAACTACCAGCCGCTAATTGTAAGACGCCAGCTGATGCTGCTAGGAAACCTGAAGATGTATTGGATTATATACCTTGTAAGTATATAATATTAGACCAAAATAAATATTTTGAGAGTATCGGTTCCTTTGAAGTTATGGTAAATGACGTTTTTGTCTATTTTTTTTTGTCTATTACATTCGTCATTGTATAGGGTTATCATATTTTTAATTGGTAGTACGTGTATGCAGGGTATCAAGAATATACTTTAAATAAAAATATAAATTTCACATAGCACAAATAATATAGACCATTATTGTAAAATAAATAAATATGCTCAATAATAAAATAAGTCACTCCTAAAACTCACCGAGTATGTCCCAAGTGAGTGTATGGCAGCTTGGGCTTGTTACCTCATCCCTTTTCCCACCAATGTACCCCTTACGAAGTTTTTCTTTGTCACACAGAGCCATTTAATAATAACCAAAAGTAATAAAGTATGGCAAGGTAAAGAAATTGTAAAAAAATAACTACAATAAACCCAACAAAAAATAGCACGTCATGCGTACCGATGATGGTCGAATGTGTGATTAAAATTTATATTAATCGTATGGCGTTAAATACAGCTCGTTGGATTTCGATGGCAAGTTATTTGTATCATTCTGAATCTGCAATATTTCAGTTCTCGTGTATCACTAAAAATAATAACTTCATTTGAAGTCGGGCGGTTAAAGACATGATCAGCAAGGTAGTGAAATGATGCTATACTGGGATATATTCTTAAAGAAAAATGCTTAAGAAAACCACCAGTCTTATAGACTCTGAGATGGGACTTGAACCCTTTTCGCAGTCCTGTCTCAGAGTAACTGGGCTTGGTAGATTTTTAAACACTACATTAAGAAACTTCTTGAATTTTTTAAACCAACAATGTAGTTATTAATATTACAGACTTTATTAAATTATTTTTTGACTTGTTGAAGGTGTTCTATTTTTTCACTACATGTTTTACATATTTTTTTTAATTAAATTCTTTAGGCGAAGTATGGCCGGAAGTATTCAAGTACACGAATCAAGCTGCTCTGAGCGGCGTCCATCGTATGGTGAGCAAGTTGGTGGAGCGCGAAGTGCGCGGGTACCGCAGCGGCGTGTACCAGCCCGACGCGAGAGCAGAGCCCCAGGGCTTGGGCTATCTGCCCCCCGCCAGCGTCGTCAGAGGACTTATGGAATGCTTCAGGAAACAGGTGATATAATGCATATGCACGTTTCTACTTGTTATCGCAAATTTTTCTTCAAAACCTCTTTTTTTTGTCAAGCGGCAGGGACATTGCCTAAAGTACGAGTATTTCTCCTACACAATTTTATTATAAGGGTAGGGTAAGCGTCAGGGATCTGTAATACATAGTTTTTTTTTAATATTATTCACGGGCTGACTTAATTGTTTTCATTACCTACTTTTCGTTATCTTCTTCAGTGTACTTTTAGCGATAAATTATGCCAGTGTGTGATAACCAGTGGACGGAATTAGGTAGAGTTATTCATGTACTTACACTGATTTCATACAGCGAAAGAATAAAGTGGATATGCCTCAAATCCCGAGATTAATTTTAAAGACTAGAAAAAATCCCGTGATTTTTTAAATAAAAAGTTATTTACTTTTACACAATTTAAACTACTGCACGCACGACGTTGCCAAACTTACATCAATGAAAGAAAGAAATAGAGAAAGAAGAAATAAAGAAATCCCGGGAAGGTCCACATTAATATCAACATTTCGATGCAAGTACATGAATAACTCTACCTAATTCCGACCTCTGGTGATAACGAAACCGAGTTCGGTGCGTTTGTATTAATTCAACTTACTTGTTTGTTTCTGCTATGGCACCACTGTGTAACAACTTGAAGTTGATAGCCCGTCAGGCTTTTTATATTGACATACGATTTATTAGTCGAAAAATTCTCGAAGCCCAATTTTGATCGGTGTTTTGTGAAATAAGATTTGGGACCCTTAAGTTTATAAGCAGCACCAAAGGAGAATGGGCAGAAGTCGGCTAAAATTACACGAAATTGCGCACTACGCATTTATTTATCAAAATCTTCTCTTTTATTATAATTTATTCTACACAAATACTATTTTAAAATTATGCGGCATTTAAAATTAACTCTATTAAAACAAATGCTAAATATCTACTACCTACTAAGTATCATTAATCGACTTGACATGCGAACTTCCTACCACTAGTTTTACAAAATAAAGTATTTTAACTATGATAATGTTGGTCAGGTATTATATTAGTCAAAGACTATTTTTTAAATCGGCGCAGGCGTTTTTGAGTTTATCCTTTAGAATAAAAAATCCAAAGCTTTCCTTTTTATAATATATGTACTATTTCAGCAGTTAAATATTTCTATCTGTTAGTCATCAATTATTTGAAATACATAATTCATTTTATTGCTCTTATATGCGTAGATATTATAACGACATAACCTCAAAATCTCTGTTAAATATTCAGATATTCTCCAACTCCGGTAATAATTTTAAAATGTTTTTTTCCTACTCATTCTAGAAATAATTCTCTATCGTTTACCGTTAGATTCAACGATGTGCACGGTTACGCAAAAATAGCCGAACTCTCATAGTAAATTGCCCATTCTCCTTATCTTTTTGTTGGCAGTCTGGTAGATTGTTGAAAAATATTTAACACGTATTTTTTTCGTAATCATTAAATTACGGCAATACATTGAGTTAAAATGTCACATCACTCTTTAGTATATTTTCTGACGTCACTCTTTAGTGTTTTTCTACTAAACTGTAACGTAGTGAGCCCCCAATACTCAACTTTAATGCAATTTCTTGCTATTTCTTGTCAAATTGAAGTAAAAAAATACGTATCTAATATTTTTCTATTATCTGACTGACGGACTAAAAAATAATTTTTTTGTACCCAGTCGTCATACGTATTCTTGTTACTGCTACTTTGTTAGGCGACATCACCATCCTACGATTTCCCGGAGGCGGTTCTCCTTGCGATACTTCACACACTGACAGCTGAATATCCTAAGCCTTTACCACCTGTGGATCTCTGTTTCCTGCACGAGCTGTTCCATCGCGGCGCGCAGTGGACAGCTGGTTGTCTCACTCTCGCCGCTAGACAAGCGCAGACTTCTGGTTCTGCTAGAAGATTGCTGGAGAACTATCTTCAAGAGTTATCACCTGATGCTACCAGCGTGAGTTTATATTTGATTTCAATTCCAAGTCTCTCCAGTTTTTAGCACGACTTTTTGATTTTTATATTTGGTTATTTGTAATTTTGAATTCGGAATGCTTAATTTAGAAACAATTTTACTTTTTAAATGAAAGTTTAAAAAATTTTTAAAACTATTTCTTTCGGCTGTTAGGGTGGATTGCCTTAACATTTATGAAAATACACTCACTACTCGTAGTAGCGGAAGTGATAATTGCGTGACAAATTCGCTAGTCCTTTTGGGTCTTGGGTAGCTCAATGGTTAGTGCTGTCGCCTGGATTACGAAAAGTTGCGGGTTCGAGTCCCATCTCTATGCCTATCTCTAAAGGCACCCGCCTTTAGTAGCTCACAACCGTAGAGGTATTATAGATAGAGTAAGATAGACATCCTTCTAATTTCTAAACAGAAACGTCAATTGGTTAGAAAGAGATACAAAATTGCGGTATCCTGTCCGTCTTTACTAACGCATGAACAGTAAAGGACAACTTTAATCGAACTGTCGACTCGTTCTGCTAGCTCCCATTCCGCGCATACGCGGATACAGTCAAACACGGCGATCTCTTCTCTCTACCGCAAAGAACTGCTATTCTTCTCCCGCTGGAGTCTAGCTTCTCTGCTTTATTTTTTTAATTTGTTTAATGAATATTCTATCTTGTTTCTTATTCATTAAATACCGATAGATATAACCAGTCTGGTAAAGTAATAGTCTTTGATTGAGAACTCAATGAACTGCAATATTAAGGACAGCGTACATTTTTTGTAACACGCGGTATAATATCTATGCTATGCTTATGCCTGTTATCTGTGAAATGGCGAATATGAGTGACATCAGGGGACAAGAAATGGTATTAAATATCGTATATCGAAACCAAATATGACGGTGGAATGTCGTGGTTTCATGATTTTAGGCACTTTAGATGGCCCTAATGTTTTAATGTGATGATTTACAAATTAACGTTAAGCGCATTTCTGTTTGTTACTATATTAATTTGTGATCTTTTTTATTTCGAAAAGTAAAATGAATTACTTAATAAAACTAAACAGTTTATATGATTTTTTTTCAAATGACACAGTCAAAAGTAATATATATTGCCAAATTAATATGATACATTACATATTGACGCGGACCGTGTCACGGCATGGAAGAAAAAAAATATACGTTGACCCTCGGCACCCTTTGCGAATTATATATAGGAAATTATATCACCTCGTATCCTATTTAAAAGATTTTAAAGTAAGAAAGGGTGGCGGAAGAGGTTGATCCGAGCTTCTAGCACCTACCCTACTTTTTAATGAAATATACCTTTATTTTCTTATATCAGGAAGCCGATATTATTCAAGTATTCGAACTACTACCGATTCTATGTCGCGGTATGCCTCCCAATTCACTCCGTGGTCCTCTCGAGCGCTGTCTCTCCGCTGCATACGAATCAACTACTAAACTCAAGCCGCTGAAAGATTCCGAATCTCTATTCGTGAAGCTCTTACGTACGATTAAAGATAGCTTGGAATGCGACAAGATACACGACGCTAACAGGACTCTGCTCTCGCAGTTTGTTGAGAACTATTTCACTGTTATACCTGATGATAATGTGGTGAGTGTTTACTATTTAAAAACTTGTATAAGTTAAAAAAAGTCAGGAACACTTACTAGCCTGGGTTCCAGGTACATCCGCAGGCGTTTATGTCCCGGGATTCAATTTATAATGATTACAAAAGTTATGGTGATATATATAAAGCTTTGGCTGACAGAAGAAGTGAGAAGCGATTTTTTTACATTTGAAAATGCAACAGTTCACTTCACACTAATGTTGCCAGACCGCAGTCGTCAATTAGCGAATGTGCAAGACTCGAGACAGTACAGAAAATTTCATATTATACATTTAATCGACCGGGAATCGAACCCCGGACCTCAGAGATGTCGACGCCTTTTAGTTGTCGTGCGAGCCTTTCTTTTCTTTTTCTATGGGCGTCTCCGCAACTGGACTTCAATAGTGCGCCTACTATACGTATGACCGGAGATTAGTGCAGTGCAAGTCATTTGCCCACGTAATAGAGGTGTAGACTACTTTTTAAAAATATTTTTATTTTATAGGTATACATGAAATTTTTCTATTCAAAAATATCATTCCTAATAGGTTGAAATCTAAAAATAAATTCTGTAATGGCATCGCTATGACGTCAGGTACTGTTTGCGGTCACGTGTCAACGAGTATAAAATATTTGTTTATTTCGGAATTAAATTAGGCAATGTTATAAATACAATAAGTATAAAAGTAATAGTATATAAAAATATTAAAATAAAATGTATTTACTTACGTTTATTGTCTACACCCGTATTCGTTTAATTTTCGTCGAATTTTACAATTTATTCTTCATTCGTGGATGAAGTTAGTGTTGTAAAACTATATAAGAGCTGAAGATATTTCCCTTGTCAGGCGTGGTCGACTTACGTGGAGACGTGTAGGTGTCTATCGACGAAGTACTTGGAGCGTATGACGTCACCGTCCAGCTGGTGGGAGGTGACGGGCGAGGCGTTACGTAAGGCGTGTGCGGTGCGAGCACGTGTTTCCACTATCGCCGGCCTCGTGTGGCTTCACGACACTATAGATGCGGCAGCATCACTAATCACGTGAGATTGTTTATTTATTTAACACAATAGGGTAGCTTCGGTCGTGAAATTGCACAAAACTTAAAATTTACAACATAATAAACATAGAGATTCTGATTTTGAGTCTTAAAATCGCACGACTATCTTAAAATTAAAAGTCATGATTTATTTGTCAATGTGTCACGTGACTTGAAACACGACCCGCCATTGTATGACGTCACTGTGGCAACGGCTGTCAGATTAGCTATAAAGAAATTCTTAATACATATCGGAATGACGTCATGAATATAACGGACTGCGTTTTCGCGGGTATAAAAAGAATAAAGTAAATTTTCATATAAGTTTGAGGCAAGCAAAACGTGTTTATTTTTTCTGAAATATGTGTTTTATGGCTCTTTTCTAAAATTAAAATAAACAGTTACAAGTATTATTTCAAATAGAGTAGAATACCCTATTGGAAATTTGAATCCGCCAGTTGACTTTAGACGAAAAAGAATAAATGTTATGTGGGAAAAATAAAGACGCTCATGGCTTGAAATTACGTATATTACTTGTTTATAATATATATTTTTTAATATTTAATTTAAAATTTCTCCTTTATGTATTTTAACAAAAGATTTTTGATACAAAATCTAAAAAACATTAAATTTTGATCAATAAATACATTAAATTTAAATAATAAATTACGAAATTCAATTAATTTTCCCATTTAATAAATGATTCATAAACTATGAGACACTTGACTGCAAACGATTCTAAAAAAAACAAAGACGTCGTTGTCGGAAATGACAGCGTTGACAATAGGCACATGGGTTACTTTTTGTAAAAATTAATTCGAATCATATTAGATCGATCTTATTAGAATTAAATCTCAATTAAAGCAGCATAACATAAAAAGAATACTTGAAATATGCCAAATTCGACTCGGTTTTTAGCAACAAAAAGATTTTTTTTTCAAGTGAATCGACATACTTACCCTAGATAGGTATCATATATCTGTCAGTTTGTCAATTTGCATTTAAAGTTAGAAATAAAATGGAATACGATTTTTATAGGTATGATCTAATTCATTAAATCATTCGAAATGAGTTTTGAAATATTGCCAACTCCCGGATTATACAAAACCATGTTACAGGTGTGAGTGTAGGGGGAGTCATTATTAACACTATCTATCTATACTTTCATGCCATATCCCTTGCGGGGTAGACAGATAGGACCGATAGTGGCTGCCAGCTTGATAGTTTGCATAAATAAAATCAATCATTATTATTATATTTCTTTATGTGACAGTGAGCAGCAGTATTCGTTAGAATGTATGGCGCCGGCTCTAAAATCCGCGCAAGTGGACTCTGAGTCCACACGGGATTGGTTCCAGCAATTGATGGCGCGTACACAAGCCGCATTCAAAGAGTAAGACATTGCTTACATAAAATCATAAAGAGATTTAGGGATGAGCTATATCTGGCAGCATGGTATCGCTTTTCACGTTATTCTTTCCTATCTGTCGATCAGAATCGCCTTTGCTAGAGTGAGAAAGGTGGCTATTGTACGATAGCATGCCGCGGAATCCTAGAAACGTTAGTCAATACGTTATTTTTCTCGCTCTAGCAAAAGAAGGTTCTGATATATTGTTTTATTGCATATTTAATATTTATAAACATTTTTTTGTTTATTTTAATAGTAGTGAACAGACTGTAGGTACATTGACAAGAAACGGTTATCGGCAGTGGCGTAGCTAGGTAAGCTAGGGCCCTGGGGCAAATAAATGGGGCCCCACAGCTATCAAAACTGGTAAGGTTTTTTGAAGTAAAATCATTAAATATACTAATACTTTAAAAATGCTAAGCAACTTTATCATTAGCTCTTTTTCGTGCATGGGCAGGTAATAAAACTATTAAACACTAACAACATAAATTACAATTATTTTTATACTTGGTGTAGGTATTAAGCAATAAAACGAAATAGAAACGATTCAAGGGTTTATCATATATTTATTTATTCATAGATATGTTGCACCAGCTTACTGTTATTTAACCTATTGCCATGCAAGCTATTTACAAAAATTATCAATAAACATATTTTGTCCAGAAGTACTTGCAGAAGGCTGACTAAAAACGTTTTTGTTTACTTTCTTCTCTTTCTTGGCGTGGTTTGCGTTTAAATGCACCACTGGGTTTCTTTTTTTTTGTCCATAATATTAGTTTTCAAATTTTTTTATGCAATATTTATGTAAGATTGTACTCAAGTAGGTACTCACTGTTCACTTACAACGTTACAAGTAAAAGAAAAGCGAAACGGAACGATACGATACAAGACGTCGTTGGGGAATCCCCGGCAAACATGTTATCGCCGCCAGTGTTACCACATTTGACGGTTTAAAAAATGTCAAAAAAACATCACGTAATTAACGGACGGCCTCCTACCGCATATGACTTGTATTTGTCACGGTATTTTTAGTTATATATTGAGTAGCCGAAATCTATAGATTTCTTTACGTAACTATGTATACGTACTACAATAAAATAAAATTGAACTTTTGTATGGACCAGCACAAAAAAATTATTGAGATACGCTTACTTATTCCTGATACATTAACTTTTAAACCATTCTCGAAAAAAAATTTTGACTCGAAGTTCACAATCGCGAATCACAAAAACGCATATCGATAAATAATAATATGCAGATATTGATATCCGAAAAATTGATGAAAACATTTATAACACTGTCAACCCACACAAATAATTTAGGGGAATTCCCCTTTTTATAACTTTGGAATTTTTCACAACTCAGTTGCCATGATTAAACTCGACTTGTCACCTGTCATATTTATTTTGAAAATGGGAGAAATTTTCAAAAGTTGGGTTCGATTGACATTTTTTGGTAAAGATTCGAGGGCCTCCTGATCTTGAGGGCCCCGGGGCACTGCCCCGCCTAGCCCCTTGGTAGCTACGCCACTAGTTATCGACTTATATCAAGTACTTACATAGTACCAACGTGTTAATCGATTTTATTTTTATTTTTTGTCTCTAATGTTAACATGTTAAAAAAAAGAAGGAAAACGTTAATATTAATCATTGTAACGAATATAATATTAAATTTTGTGCATCGACTAGAATATACTTTACGTAATGTTTATTATGTACACATCTTATAATTATAATTAATCTTGGACGCGTTCTTCGTGCATTATTGCCATCCTCTGCCCCCTTTTCTCCCTCATTCGTTTGGCCTCTTTGTTTTGTGTCGATTTTTCTTCACAGCTTTAACAAATATACTTTTTCTCACAGAACGGAGGAGGTATCAGCGAAATTATACCTACTAGACGTGCTTATGTTGAGCGTAGTAGTGTTCAGCGGCCACTGGACATTAGACGACGGTTATTTGACACGGCGCAGCACTAGATATAGACTGATGCCCGCCGCCTGTTGCCAACTGATGCAGCGACACATGTGGACTACTGTACAGCCCCAGGTATGTATACAATGGACAGCACGTGGTAGTCTAATGTATAATGTGATTTAGATTTTCGTTATTTTTTAATCTTAATACAAAACTCCATAAAAAATTAATATTACCTTTAGTTGTCTAACTTAAAAAGTTATTAGATTTTTTAAACCCCTACCCGTAATGAAAATTATATGTTGAACTGGAATACAAATTTACTATTAAAAATACTTATTAATAAAAAATGTAAGGTATCAGATACCTTATTATAAACTTTATTTATGAGCATTTTATATATTTTACATACAAGAATGCTTGGTCTTAAAAGATGGTGCAGCAACTGAATCAGTGGTTTCTTCTTAATTCATTATATGTCAAAATTATCTTTTTGCCCTTATTTAATTATTATGTTATCATTATAAAATCATAGTTTTATTTCTCTATTTATAATGTAGTTATTGATCTGGTAATGACATTGTTTTGTGAATTTCGTTACTCCCATTAGAGCTGGTGACTTTCTTGCTCGTTCTTCGTATTAACCAAAAGACGTCCTGAACGAGTGGTAGGGCAAAATGTTGGGCGATTCAAAATTCTATTAGATTAAAGATTATTTTGACTTTTTAACTTTGCCAATAATCATCATTATCACCGGCCTACTAATTAATGTTGGGCCTGTACCTTCCCTGTGAATGAAATAATAGGCCATGACCTTCCACGCGGGCCCGGTGCATGTTAGTGCTTGTTAACGACTGCAGACGCAGCCATAACGAACGGCATAACGTGTTTAAGCAAGTAAGAGCTCAAGATAATTTTTGGTCACCCATCTTATGATTATCCCTTGCGGAGGTTGCTTAATTTTCGCACCGTAGATCAAACACGTTAAGCACTGAGCCATCGAGATCCTCTAACAAATTGCTATCGGAAATCTACCACTTTGGTAACAGTGTACTAAAGTCAATGTTTTATTTGTATCTTGTGTGTAGATGTTAGAGTGGATAAGACACACTTGCCACAGCATAGAGGATAGGGAGGCGAGTGCGGCGTGCCGGCGCTCTATACTCGCGCTCACTCACTGGGAACACTTCGCAAGAGCATTCCAACATCTGTGAGTTTATTTTTATATACCAAAACACTTCTATAGTCTATAACTCGTGAGGGCCTATTCTCTTTGTACTCGAACAATAATTTAGAATCATTCTTAGAAAGAAATTTGGAATCGTTCATAGTCTTATGTCCTGCCTTCAATGCATCATACATAAATGATCGAAAAAAGCGACTCTTTGGTTTCGTATTAGCATAAGAAGGATTATGAGACTAAAATTGTCAATAAACTGACTAGAACCAGTTTTTTTAATCTCTTTTGACCTGTTATGTAACATTTAAAATATTTTTTTTATTTATTTCTGTTACCTAACTATATTGACAAAACACGGTCATCGACCTCTGTAGGTATATCATAACATAACTAGCATTGAATAGAAATTTTTAAAGTTTTATTTTATATTCTAATAAGAGAATAAAAAATCGTGAACAAATAAAGGAAAATAGCAAGTATTTTTTGGTTACATATAGAACATACGGATGTGTTTTTGTGTAGAAAGATCTTTCGCCCGTCTTTCTGTCATTTGCATCCTTTAAGTCCTTTAAGCGTCCTTTAAGTTCTAATGGCGGTTTAAAGCTTTAATGAATATTCTCAATTTAAGATATGTATCGGTAATATCGATTTAAAATAATGAGAGTTTTAATTGACGTTTGTGCTACTGGCAGTTCGCATTGTATAAATTTCTAATGTTTTTACAGGGACGGATATTTTGCCATAGACACGACGATAGAAGACTGATATATTAATATTTTTCTAAATCGTCATGTGTTTTGTATTGAAAAACATTTGATGATAAAAATAATGTTTTCGAAATCTGGGCCATCTGCTGACATTGAATCAGAATAACCTCTTTTGTTTGAGTGGAATAAAGAAGAGCGTTTTATTATTTTGCCATTATATTATAATGTAAGTTGTCGTTATAAAAATAAAAAAAAAACTAAGTGTCCGATATTTAGCGAATTTTGTTACTAAGTGGCTATATAACAATCGTTTGATAATGATCTGCTTTTTTTAATTATTGTTGAAATAAAACAATTGTTTAAATGCTGTTTTAATTTTCCAATACATCTTATATTACTATGAATAAATATAATATGTAGGTACCTATTTATGTTACAATAAAAATATTCAGGGTGTTTAAATTACACTATTTTAACTTTAAAATCACTTTGGTATAGCGCTGTGGTCGAACAGAAATAATTTCGTACAATGACCGTACATATATCTGTCACTCATGTATAAATATATAGTTATTGCGCTTGCACAGATGCATCTAGCCAATTACGATAAAGTAATATGAACCTTAAATGTACGAGACGAGTACGAAATTTTTCCTGTTCGGTGATGGTGCTATTGTAGAATATTGTAGGTATTCTATACTGTCAAGGCTGGGAATCGAACTAAGGTCTCATCGAATAACAGTAAGTAACTCAAATGGTGCATGGTGAGTCTTCTTTTGCGCAAGAAATCTATTTCAACGAGTCTTCTTTTGCGCAAAACATCTATTTCAACGACGAATTACAATAATTTTATTGATAACCAGTACTGCTGATACATATATCGTATTATAAATATTTCTTACACAATTTTTAATTATGACTAAGTTAATTACAATTATTTATATACACAATATTCACAAATAAATTTAAGACTAGATAAATAGCAGCATAAGCAGCGGGTGATCTTATCACAGATACAGTATGTTTGGACGAGAGTGAAAAAAAAACAGTTCTGCTTTGGTCTTCTGTAAAAAAATACAGCGTCGAACACAGCGCTGTCACAGTATTAGAGGTTCCATCGAGTAAAAGTTTTATAACCTTTTGAAGACTGATTTATTTGATTGAACTTCTAATGCTGTAGTGCGGTGTTACGTAATCATCTAGGACGCCAGTTGTCAATTGTAAGAAGCGCCTAAGGCGAAATTTTTATACATGATAAGTCCAAAGATAATACAGAAGTGGGGCAATGGCTCATGCAAAATTTCACCAATCACTTAAAACTGATTATGTTGACAATTATGTTCAAATTATTTGTGGAAATGTTGAAATTTTGTTGTAAATTGATTTGCTGCTGTATGTACAGTCAATAGCATGTCAGGTTATATAAAACTCTAATGACGCCTATTTTAAATAAATTTGATATATATGTATAAGTATATGTAAGAACTTATTTTCATTAAATATAAAGACAAAATGTAAACATAATCAAGTTAATAACTAGAGTAATCTTCATTGTGGATTAAAGTAATAATGCCAGCTTTCCACACTAAAGAAACTTAATTAACAAGATATTAAGGATGAAAGTTGCTTGAAATTTGTATAACTTTATTTTGCTGTTAACTGAATAGTATTTCAGTAATACGCAAAAGATTCTTGCGGTCTTATAGTGGTACGTTTATTCAGGGTCTTATAACGACGCGATATTTTCGCGGTCTTATAGTGATTGTATCTTCGCGCGTTCTTATAATGACTATATGTTTTCGCGGTCTTATAGTGATTCTATGTTTTCACGGTCTTATAATGACGCGTACGTGGATATATACGAGACGCCGGGCGGTCCCGGCGGGCGCGGTCACACGGCCGTCTCGTCCGCGGGGGGCTTCGTCTCGGGACTCTTAACGGGGACTCTGATCACCTCCTCTTCCAGTTTAGACTCGATAGGCATGTTCTGAAGTTATGATATGTATTGATTAGTGATATAAATATAAAAAATATAATTATCATGGATACAATAAAATGGAATTTAAATGTAATCTTATAACATTATATATATTTTTTAAGAAAAGTAGCTGTTTTCTCTGTACTTCGCCAGAGTTAATTATGGCCTATTTCACCTGGCCTATTTAATGTAGAATTACGTAGGTGAAAGAATTTTTAAAATCAGTCAGTAGTTCGTGAGTCCATTCGATGCAAACAAACAAACAATTAACTCTTTGCTGTTTATAATTTTAGTATACAATAAAATAAAAAAAATAATTAAATAGTGGACAGCATCACACACAATGCTCAGTTCCATAATAAAGTAGCTAAAATATGCGTATCAAGGAAATCTAAAACAACGCGAGTGTTATTTAGACGAGGTTTATTAGTAATTTACGGGACTTATAAACCTACCTCTAGCGCGGTGTAATGTCTATGCACGGTAGGCAGTTTATGAGCGCCGGGTAGAGCGGCGAGTGCGCCGGGCCGCAGCCGCGCCGCGTCTAACAGCCGCGGCCGCCGCCCGGGACTCGCGCGAGGAGACCCGCGTACGCACGCGCCCACGCTCTTCAACAGGCGAGCACTGACCAAACAACACGTATCACTCGTACGAATCAACATGACAGCCGAGGGCCTATTCTATTTGTCCAACGAAAATTAGGAAAACTTAATCATCTATATATTATCATCTATGTATTGTTTAGCTCTCTGTAGCACAAGGTTGTGTTAATGTATTGAATGAAGCATGGCACATATTGTTAAGAACTTACGCATCTAAGAGCTTGAGCAGCAATCTACTGTAAGCCTGGTATTCATCTTCACCGAACTCCCCAGGATGATGCCTCGCATACTCATATGTGTCACAAAATTGATGAACAAGTTTCTGTCCATTGCCATCAAGTGGTGCTGCTAATGAAGATAGGAGAAAAGCCCGTAAAGACTCCCGAGGATGCCGCCGCAACCCAGGCTCTTGGTCAGCTATTTCATCTTCTGTAGTAATAAATTAACATATTTATTTATTTTTATTGATTTCAAATTATTTATTGCTATAACATAAAAAGATGGTAATTCTTAAAAAAATTGTATAATATTAATTAGAATTAATTATGATTAATATAATATAATAATCTTAATTAGAATTCATTAAAATTATACAATTTGCTTTGTTAATTGCAGTTAAAGTTAAGGTTTATGTCAAATTTGATAATATCTGTTATTCTGACTTTAGCACACATTTACTATTAGTTTGGTGAAACAACAAATCTGCATATGGTATTCTTAATATTAAGTAATTTCTAGTTAAGCTTTGCCTTCTTCTAGGTTAGTGAAAATGGGCATTAATGTAGTATAATTGGCAAGTTCATCTTTTGGTTTTAAACCAAATGTCAACAAAAGATTTTTATTTTAAATTCAAAACATTTGTGAATGTTTATACTGGTTACTTACCAAGTGTTTTTACATCATCGACAGCTCTAAATCGATAATGATATGGCTGTTGAGGTTCCAAAATGTAATGAGATGGCTCAGCACTTAGTAGCCTAGGTTCGTGCATTATGCGAGGTACAGCTTCAATGCGTCTCTCAATTTCTTTCTTAAGACACTGTATACAAATAATAAAGTAGGTATTAATTTTTACCCAAAAATTTTGGAACAGTGTAGCTTGTAAGTACATACTTAAATAAATGTATTTAATATAATCATTATTGGAACTTGATATAATTAATCAAATGTTGTGAGAATCGTTGGTTGGATCATCAAAGCGTACTCTTTTTAGCATACATTAATTATGGACTTACTTTTTTAGCATCCGCTCCTATGGGAACGTGTGGACCTCTTCGTGACCTCAACGCAAATCTTGTGATTTGCCTTTTAGCGAATATAAAAAGAATAACAAAGGTTAGCACTCCACCACTTATAATAAAGATGATATTCAATATACTTGTGAAATCCTGCATTTTCGTTTTATTTATTTATCAGAAAAACAATAGCAACCAACACTCGACATTTTCATTAATGATTGACGTCTACTGTCACATTGACAATGACTTACGACAGAATGACAAAAGAATTAATGTTCTCACAGCCATGTCTGCAATTTTTAATAGTATTTATATTTGATCAATTTTATAACCATTAAGAATATTTTTCCGTATAATAGTTCTTAATAGAAATCGTGAAAATCAAAAATATTTCGCATGTAAATGTTCTTACTTAACGAAATGAATAACGAACAAATACGAATAGGTATATAACAAAAAAATTGAGAAGCACAACGGCTAAATATATGGTATACCTAGCTACCTACCATCGAGTAGGATATAAATAAATAAAATAAAAATAAATAAAATCCATTTATTTGGGACAAAAATACAACAGAAGTAACACAATCACACACAACAAAATCTCTGTCTCAAAACGGTTCCAGCTCAGCATATGCTGGTCTTGTGATCAGCGCTGATCTTCCGCTGAAACCGATCCGGTGACAAACACAAACAGTATCATAATCATAACAAAAATACAGTGACATAAAAATACAAATATGTAGCCGTACCGAAAGTCCGGCTGTATGGTAAAAGCTATTTTAATGGTGCCTTTGTATTAAAATTAGTTAGGAGGTCCAAATGGAGGCAAAAAATTTTGCTTACCCACGTTAGGGCCCCTGTAGCCTAGGGACCCCGTATCATTGATAATGCTGATACGGAGGTAGTTATGCCCCTGCTATCAACTATGTAAGAAAAATCAACAATTGGTATATATTCGTACAGTCGATGTTTATGGTTAAGCCATGATTCTGAAAGGTCGATTTCCCTTTGTAACCATTACTTCATACCTACATATGTGCATATAAAATCGTATCTGATAAAAAAAAATCATAAACATACTAAATTGAGTGTCTGAATTTTAATGAGGAAGTATTTAAAAAAAGATATTAGTTCCCGAAATTAAACTAGATGTCGCTACGGTACGTTATTGATTTCTCCATGACAACCTTTCCGGTTTTCTTTTTAGTTAAAAAGTAAATTAGTTTTCGAAACTCTTTAAACAACTCATATTCTATTTGTACTTTTCGTATTTGTATTGATATCTATTTCAAATTTCCGTTTTTTAATATGTTAGTTAAAAGGAACGGAAATGGCTGTCTTTGGTCCATCTAGTGGAGGTGCTTTTTAGTGCGTTTTTTTTTAATACTTCTTCATTGAAAAGTCAAGTTCAGCGTTAGTGAGATCACAAGTAGACATCCATTTTGAAATGTTTGTCAAACTGGTAGACCACGTTCTTGACCGACCATACTATTACAATGTAATTTTTGTTAAAACTAAACTTCGTGAACAAGTATTTATGAACATAGATCTTGTAATATATTAAATTGATGTTTAATCAAAATAACTTTGAAAGGCTCTTTGATTTTTTCGAAAAATACTGAAAGTACTTTTTTACTTACAGACAAGAAGTTTGGATAGTATCTTTATATATATAACACAAAAACTATAATATAATGTTTGCTATGGAACGGAAAGCTCAGTGAGGTATTTCGATGTACTTTTAACCTGTTCTTTTAATGTAAAACTTGATTTTATATCATAGTCATGTCATCATTCCTAGTAATGTTTAAGCATTCATGTTCAATGGCCCTTTCTTGTGAGTTTGAACATAAATTCCTTGCTCATGATTCTTTCTATTCTGCGTTGGGCGCGGCACGCATGACTTTGGTGGTAAACGCGTGCTGCATTATAATCACTCATGTCTACTGATATGGTCGCCGCGCTATGACCAATAACAGTTCAATAAGGAATCTATACCTGCACATTTATCGTCCATAATTCATAAAATTCATAACGTTCGCTTGCACCAACAATAGCGAGACAAAATGGGATACGTGTTTCCTCTGTTTGGATTGTGGTCCCATAAAAAGGATCGCATTAATTTTAACGGCAAGCGATGATTTCATAGGAGTCATAGATAACGCGAGTAACCGTGTGTCGCGCTTTGATTGGGACATTTTCCAGATTTCAAAGCGCTTTGTGTAAGTTTTTTTAGCGCTTACGTTCACCGTCGATCGAGTGCGCGTTAAGATTTTAGTATGTAACCCAGTAAAGCGCCCCTAGCGGTTACTATTAAGAATTAGAAATTTTCATACCAATTCTTAACGCGCTCACTACTGGAACGCGTTAACGTAATACTTACACTTATCACTCTAAGCTAGTTTCAGTTCCAAGTGAGAGTAAAAATTACCTGCTTTTGCAAACTGAACTAATAAAAAATCATTAGGATACCTAGTTAAAGTATAAATATACTATGGGTAGTGGGTGCAATATTGAGTAGGATAAATAAATAAAAAGCGTTAATATAATATAATAAATAAAAAAAAAAAATAATGTATACATATGAAATGGATGAAACAGTTTTACGGTGAAAGGATATTATGAAAATAGTTTTAAGATGTGGAAAGGAAATAATTTCTAACTTCATCGCTAAAGGATTTTAATGATCGAGCCCTCCTGATACCCTCTGGAAGAGAATTCCACAGACGCACAGCATGTACAGCAAAAGAATACTAATAGAAATCTGTAGTGACGAGGAATTTCGAGAGTGAGGTTTAAGAGGAACACAACGTACATTGTGATGAAGAGGAGTGAAAAGAGAATGAAAAGATATGGTGGAGATGAAGGATGGAAAAGTTTCGAATAAAGAACCATAAGAGTACGCAAGTCCCTGCACCGGCGAATAGGGAGCCAATTTATCTTTGAACGGAAATACGACACATGGTCATATTTTCGAAGATCAAAAATATATCTAATGCAAACATTCTGCAGGCGCTCTAGTTCGTTGAGAAGTACTTTTGAGAGATCTGCATAGCACACAGAAGCGTAATCATAATAGATAACATAAGAGAATGGGTCAAAGTGATTTTGGTACTGATCGACAAAAAAATTACGCAGACGACCATCAAAGCAAACACCCTCTTCCTCACTGCTTCCATCTGAGGCCTCCAAGAAAACTGTTGGTCAAAAATTATTCCAAAGTTTCTGGCATTTTCTGAGTAAGGGATAACAGTACCGTCGAAAATGATAGAAGACAGCTTACTAAAGTCGATCCTGGAAACGAAATATTAACTACCTATTACTATAGTTTGAGTTTTAGATGGATTAACTATTAGACTATATGATTTACTCCAGGTATTAATAAGTTTATTAGAATTAGTGACGAAAACAGCCCCCGAAAGGCTAATTAACGGTGTCTGAGTATAGATCTGGAAATCATCAGCGTAAAGGTGATATGAACATGAAAGCGACTGTGTGATGAAAAATTTTTTAGAACGCTATTCTGAAAGTCAGTCTTAACTATAAACTAAACCAGGGGTTCCCAAACTTATCTACTGCCCATTGAGAGAATAAATAATTTTTTTGTGGCACCATTTTTTTACTTAAAAACCACTATAATTTCAAATTATATTAATTCACCATTTTAAACGAGACTTTTACTATAACTCACAAGGGTTAACTTGAAACCTGAGCGCAATAGGTAATACACAACACAATTTATTCAAAATAAAACAAACATAATTGATTCTTATATAAAAACTTATATGAAGGATGAATTTGATGCTGTTTAATAAGTATGTTAATATCAAGTTCCAATTTACTCAATAACAGTCGCAAGTTGCCACGTTCAGTAACATACAAACGATTTCTCTTTTTAGTAAGCAGTGTTGCCACAGTACTAAATTCACGTTCACCACCAGCCCTTTTACGTCCCCACTGCAGGGGCTCAGGCCTTCCTTATGGATGGTTAAGGTGGGTGGGCCATGACCCTCCATGCTGGCCCAATGCGGATTGGAGGGTAATCCACGTTCACATTCACATAAATATGACGATAGGAATGCTATCAAGAATTGTTGAACGATTGTATTCTAGGGTAAACCGACCCGCACTTGGCGGTTTTTGTAGCCAAAATTCCTGGTAACCATTTTTGAACGTTTGTTGTCAATTCTATAAGTTCTACTTCCAGCTGTGTTGACATTTGAAAATGGGTCCAACACCCAGTCTGGTATTTCAAAATTCAAAATATACCGATATCGTTCGGTGAAGTCAATATGGAGGTTTTCAAAATGTTGGCAGTAGGCAAATAAATCATCGCTGCGGAAGCAGCAACGACGTTTTTCGATTATATTAAATTTAGTTCATCCGCTTTGCAGATAGACATTGATGTCGTTGAATAACTTATACGGGTCTGTCATATAAGTTATATCATTCTTTGATGTAAGGAGCATGTTGTGCAATTCTGTATCTTTAGTGTCCAAGAACTCTATCACAGAGTTATACAGGTTGTAAAATCGAGTCAGACAATTGCCTCTTGACAGCCAACGAACTTTAGTATTAAACCATAAATTGTTAAAATCTTCGTCATTAGTAACACAAAGCTGATGAAATAATCCATCATTCAAAGAACTGTTGCTGATTTTATTTACTGCTTTGATGACATATTGCAGTGATTGAAATAGTGGTTGACTTAAGTTTCTAGCGATCAAATGTTGTCTATGAATAACGCAATGTACAGCAAGTACATCTGGAATTTGGTTTTTTAAGTGCGCTACGAAGCCTTTATGGTATCCTGTCATAGCCAGAGCGCCATCCGTAGTAACTAATATAATATTTTTCAAGGGAATCTCTTTCTCATTACAAAACTTTTCATATGTGTTGAATATGCTTTCGCCTTTTTATCGGTCTCTAAATTTCCAGCAAACAATAGTTCTTCACATATTTTCTTATCTTTAATAAACCTCATGTAAGACAGCAACAATGCTTCATTAGTTGGTAAAGTGGACTCATCGAGTTGAATTGAGAATTGACTTGTTCTCAGGTAATCGTACATTGATCCTTCAATATTTCCGTCAATCCGTTTTTGCATATGATTATTACTCAAAGGAATTTTTCGGATAATCTCTGCGGCCGGTTTATGAAGCAAAGCACTTCCTTTATTGCTGGCAAAATTAACTCTCCTCCTATATTATGTAGTTT